CTTTATGCTTCATTCTCAAAATATGAAATTTGTTCCATCCCTAGTAAGTCATAATGGTTAGAATTGCAAACGACCACAAAGTTCAAGAAAGTAGTTTAACATGTGTATAAATTGCTGCAATTTTCTTTGAAGTTAATTAATCATATGGTTTTTAAACTTTTTTAAGATGAAAACTATATCCCACCGCTTGTAAACCAATGGTCACTTAGTCAAGCATTCAAACAAAATCTTAGTAACACATGATAGTAGTAATCATCATTTGTTTGGAATTAGTTTATATTGAAAAAACACCTATTGTCCGTTTACTTTGATGAACTATATAAATTTAAAGTTATATTCTTTGACCTTCGTATGCATTCGAAAGGTTAGCAATGGAGGCGATAAAATGTGAGTTTCTCAGGAATACCACTTCTAGATAAAAAATTTTTATATGAGTTGTTAGGGGTTAGATCTAGCCAAATCCCATTCAGACTCAATGCAAAGTTTGTAGCGGATTGCTACTTTTATAAAGCCTGACTACTCAGAAATCTCTGTGGCAGATTCTCCAACATTTAGCTAGACTCCCGGAACTAGCTAAGCTATAGCCCAGCTATAGGGGAAACAGGCGTATAATACGGAACACGTATACTCAGTCACGTAATGATAAGAAAAGTGTATTTAAAAACAGTTTAGTTTTATTCAGCTTGGCTGCTTAGTTATAAACACTTGGCGGCTTCTGATTGGTCACTCGTATTATTGTCGCTTGCGCAGAAAGTTATACGGCAGCACGCGATAATGGGATAACGTGTCCCACAAGTTAATGTAGGGAATGGTGCCATTTTATTTTCACTGACACTTTCCATTTAACATTGACTAAATCTTTCAACAATGTACTAATAAATGGAACAATCTGCGGAAGTCATAACTTCTTCTGCAAATCAAAAAGGGACTTGTACTCAGAGAATGGTATGGATCTAAATATCAATTTAATCGCTCAAGTTCCCCCTGAATTTATGCAGCTTAGTTGACATACAATTACATTGTCATTCATATTTTCCCATTTCTTAAGCATTTCATTCGAAGGATTTAAAGTATCTCCTTGTAATGAAGAAAATTCTCCATTTATGTCAGGGGTAGTTCTATCATATCCTGGGTCCGGATATGTTAACGATACTCAGCAACCAGTGAGAGAGAGAGAAGCAGAGGTTAAGAAAACAAGATTGATATATTAATCAGACTTGACTTATAGCGCGAATTTTGATTTAATACATATTCGAAAGTTGTGTTTGACCTGACTTTGATTGATCATTGGACTTAAGGAAGCCCAAGCTGAAGACTATGAACTGTCAGATAATTTAAACGTACGGAACTAAGTTATTACATGTTCTTTCCACAGTAATTGAATTTAAGTTTGAAGCAGATAAGCGCAAGTCTCACTTGATCTCCTACTTATTTCACTACTACTATATTTTATGATTTCGCTAAATTATGTCTTCAAAATATGATGAAAACTTGTTTTCCTTACTTCGCATTACATACATAATTAATAACAACACCAGTAAACATTACAAGTGAGTTAGCGATCTTACTTGTTCCTTTATATTAATGAAATGAGATTAACATCAGAGTAAACGCTAGAATGCGTAAAAAAACAGGAGGTCATGGGTTGAAAAATGTGTAATTTGCATTAAGTCAGTAGTTAATTCGAAGTAAGAGACAACTCACTTAAATGCAAGTTCTTTGCTGATTCGCCGAACATTCAATTCAAAGAATTTCTCTACAGTAAGTGGAACAGGGTAATTTAAAATAAAGCCATGAATTCGCGGGTCTTTCATTCCATTCATCTTGATGAAATAAGATGTAAGATATTCTAATTAACATAAGCCAAGTTCTGTCCTGCCAATGCATCTGGTTTTCGGAACAATATCAATATTAAATGAAGGTTTAGGAGAGTGCAACGCTTTGAAGACAAAATGTATTGCGCTATAAACACAGATTGTCCGCCATATGGGAACACATCAATTAGTCAGTCATTTCATGATTGTTCGTAGTAGAATGAGAAAGTGTTGACCTATATGGCTGCACAGGCTTATGAAGCATTTAAGAAGAGCACGGTAATATTGTAGCGGATTACAACACTAGTAAAGCCCTGACTCTCTCAGCCATAGAAGAAACAGATGTAGCGCACGAAACTGGATTATTTAGGAAGTATATTGTGGTAAAAGTGTACATGTCGTAAGGTAAGTCAAAATCAACATGGCGGATTCGCTTAAACAAACAAAATTTTCATTTTCTTATGACTGAATCTGGAATATACATACATCCTGTGGTGTCTTTCATTTTTTTCATCACTCGTGACATATGATGTTCCACGAACAATTTTTAAAAATCCGCATTATGAAACACAATCTAACATAATTTATTTTAGCCTCTATCAATGACGCTTAATGCTTAACAAATTTGGTCCAATAGTGGAACTTTTAAGTGATATTAATAAATAAAAAATGAATTTCCAAATATTTGAATAATTAAAATATTGGGCGCGTTTGAGCAGATAAATTATACGCAATAATATAATTTTTTATGAAAGGCCTAACCAATTCACCGCAAAAATTTGATAAATAATTAAAAATTATTTTGCCAAATAACTGTAATAAGTACGCAAAATAATCAATTGGAATATAGGTAGAAATGTAAATATTATTCGATAAAAAATTAAATAAATATCTGATTAATGTTGAATATTTGAATATCTTTATATTATTCATATATGCAAATAATAGGGAAGTTTAATATATTAACAAGTAAAATTGTAACATAATATTCGTGCACATTTCATATTAGGTAATTCCTCAGAAGCATACATACATACACAGTGAAACATTGTTTGAATAAAAAAGTAATTTTCTGCTAATTATTAATTTTCATAGTATTAAAAACACTATAGACTTAATAATAAGTTATGTATATTGATATTTATATATAATATCATACGGAAAATATATACAATAAATGCATGTAAAATGCACACTGTATTATATATATAATATATTTCTTTCCGATAATTCGATTTCAAAGGCTTGATTTGCATGACACGAACATATAGAATCTGACATCAGAATATATTTGCAGATATGTCCATAGATCTAATCTGACTTAAGAAACTAGTTTTTCAATTAAACCTTAATATCAATCCACTCATTTATTTTTCCGTGAAAAAGCTTGCTTCCAAGAATAATCGATATAAGTTTTTATTTTATTAAGAGAAAATAGCACAGTATTCTTAAAATTAATACTTATTTCGAAATTAAGGCTTATAGAACGGTAAATGACTCAAATCAATACGTTTGTATAAATTTTTCGAGAACTTTATCAATTATTCGTCTTTGTTACGATTTATCAGATAGTAACTGCGTTCAAACATTGTGAGGAAAAAAGCTTTATTAATTCATACAAATCAATAATAATGAAAATGTAACTATTAAAAAACGGAATATCAAACCAATTAAAGCAAAAAACACATTGTAAGTTAAATAAATGAAATAAAAATAGAAATTTAAAACAAAAGCAGATTTAAATGATTATTTAAATAAAATTTATTCGATTATATAATTTCGGTTTTCAAATTTATTAATCTTAATAAAATTACAATTTTTACTATTTTATATAAAAACTGAATGTTTCCGATGATATTTTTGTTAAATTTGTTTAAATTGTTTGGTTTGCTCGATTGGCAAAGAAATCAAATTCTAAATCCGGTTAATTTCGCGCGAATTTTATTCATTTGGGGTGGGTTTAATATCATGCAACTGATGCTTTTAGTCAATCATGTTTCCATTCCCTATCTTTATGGCTGTTTTTCTTTTTTTTCTATTGCCCACTTGGAATGATTTCGCGTGTATTTTTCTGTTTATTCAAGAACCAAATTTTTAATCTAAAGTAAGTATTCGTTCTCTTTACTAATTTATTCCTTATTTATAATCGATTATAAGATATTGTATATTTTTATTCACCTATTACCAAATATAGCATCTAATTTTGCCTCAAATGGTAATTACGCGTAAAAGTTCAATTTAGCGTTGGAATCTTTATCATTTGGGCACCTGTAAATTTTCTGGGAGTTAATATATAACTTATAGCCTGAATATCTGACCACAAATGTTTTAATGACGTCAACCAAAATTTGTGGTTATTTAATCTAAAGAGAAATATAAAAAGTGTTCTATTTTTTCAAATTTACTTATTGTATTTGTTTTTATTTACCCTTGCTAATTTTTTGCTTATTTGTTTAAATGTTTTGCCTTAGTATGTGCAATCCTTTGTATTTTGCGTTGCTATTTCACTCATTTGTTTACATTAACTAGTTACTGCGTATGGTGTGGATTTGAGAGGAGTTTCCTATTATTATATAATATATATCTAATATTCTCTCTGTTATGTATTTCATTTTTTTGTTCCATTCACTGTTGGTATATGACTTGTTGATAAACTATAGAACAACCATTTGTTTTTAATTATGTCAGAAAACATCTTATATGCTTTAATGCGTATATAAATGTATAATGTATTAGACTATCTGAAAAACTGGGTTTATATGAAACTGGATAAATTCGGCAGCGATCATATCAGTTGTCGAACTGAAATACATATTGCAACATGAAGGTGTTGGGGCAATTGCATATAAATAAATACATTTCATCTCGGTCGTCCTATTTTTAGTTTAACTCTCCAAGATGTGGAGCCTTTTGTTATCAATTTATTACCTTCAATTCACGTTTTCGTGGTCACATTTGTCACCCACTCTTTTCCCTCACGAAATACATTTTCCCACCCTTCATCTTAAGTTTTTCTCTCCCCTCTTTTACCTAGCCAAACTTTTCTTCGATGAAGTACATGTAATTTCGTTGCAGTGACATCATATCATAACACCCTTCTCAACTTTCAGGCCTTTCATACATCTTCCACAAATCATTTTAATTTTAATTAAAATTATAACTGTATATGATTATTAGATCCCTGAAATGCCCAGTGATTACGTTGAATTGGAATGGTCTACTTTGGATGAAAATCTCAATGTATCCGATCGAGTCTTTTCCACCGAATTAGGAGGGGATATCTTAGATTCCCTTCTTCGTGATTCTAATCCTCCCTGTGATCAACCACCAATTAATGGATCAAGCTATTCGGAAATCCCTTATCTAGATACCGAATTTCCCATTGCTCATGGCATTAATCTGCAAGTTGATGATTTAATTCCACATAAGGTTAGCAATGCTTCTCTTGTCTCTAGTTCATATGATCGATTACGGATATCCACGAAAATACTTTGCAGAGTTGGTGCGTTTATGCGTTGTGATTATTTGTTCATTGATTATTTTGAAGCAAAATCTAAAACTCACTTATTTGTTATGTAGGACGAAGTATAGTAGCGGAGCAGTACCAGAGAATGAATTTAGGAAAAGTCAAGTTGGAAGGTGGTAAGCCAATAAAAATGACTGAGGAAACAGTTCAAAGAGACCGTGAGTTGTTACAGAGAACACTTACAGGAGCAGGGATAACTATAGCTCGTATAAAGTGGAGAACAAAGGATTTAGGAGATTTGTACAAACATACCTGTGTTAAAGAAGGCTGTTGTTATCATTCCTATTCTTATGAACACCTAATAAAACACCTCAAGATGGGACATTACGTTCTTGAAGAATTACTCCCGGACGCAGAAGATGATCCTAATGAATTGACTTCGCCTTTTCTTTGCTTTCCAATAAATCCTCTGAAAATGACTGATCATGGCAGGAATATCTACTTGTGCCAGCATTGCAATTTATATTTTGGCTCACAGAAGTCGATAGTAACTCATTATTTAGAGTATGTGGGCTAACTTTGACCCTTCTATGACATATTTATGCTATAACTTCTTTTTTTCTAGAATGCACAATGTGAACATACCAGAGACTAATGAGTTAAATGTATTCGACACATGCAGTTTTTGTCGAGAATTAATAGATAAGGAGGGTGATAAACTACCTGTGTGTCGATTGCGTCTGGACAGCAAGTTGCCGAAATTTATATGGAATGAGATTGGAAAATATTTGGAATTTGACCCTGCACGAGGAATCGGTGCTCACGTGCTGACATCGCTTATGCTATTTCCCAATGCTAAGTCGCCTCTGTTAATGTCGAGGAATGTATTTGATTCTATTCAAGACACTTTGGAAAGCAACTTTGGAGATATTAGTCGCCGCTTTAGGACAGCTATATCAACATTTCGTGGGAGTTATCACTCTTGTGGTCAAGACCCATATAAAAAATCTGTGAGTGGCATTCTCGATATCGCAGAGTTAGAAAAATTCAAAACTTTGTAGGTTTCCTTTATTTAGGTGTTTATACCTCCATTCATATGCAACTTTAATGCTTTTAATTAACTTTGATAGGAAGCGACCTCACACTGTTCTCGGCGTTGGGGGTGATGAAGAAGCTTTAAGAGGTCAAAAGAGGTCTCGACCCAATGATATAAAGAAACAGATTCTAATGACTGATAATAATTCCCTTCGGGAATCTTTTGATCGAAAGAAAAAAGTTATAGTAATACAAAATCGGTGAGTCTAAAAAAATGTTGCTGCTCTAATCATTGATTGAAAATGGAAGGTTTATGTGATTTCTTATATACCGCACTTATTGTTTGTTTTGTTTCAACAGGTCAGAAGATGGTACTTGGAATTCATCCCCGCAGAATTCACCATCAATAGTGAGAATTATTCATTCTCCTAAGACTACTGAGGCAGGACATTGTCATAACACTGTTGACGCGAGATCTCCTAACGTAGTTATAACCGAATCGAAAACTATGCCTGTTTCTTCAAACCCTTCTGGATTTCCTGCCAATGAGGTTCTGTCTCTATATACTATGGAAAATTCATTGCATTCTTGTTCTTATTTAAACGCTCAGGAATTTTTGACTATAAGACAAAAAATTGAGCAATTGATCATTACATGCCTGGTAGTTTTCTAAGTAAAATGGTGTTGTGGGACACTTCATCAATCACCAAATAGAAATCCTGCTATAGAATATTACTCAGAAATATTTAGCTATTAATGTTCACGCGAATTATGCTAGAGTTATCTTATAACTAATCGCTTTACTAGCGTATCAATCCGCTACAAATTGGTGACCCTGACGTGATTGCCAAAGCCTGACTTTAATCGCTCAGCAAAGAACCAATCTTTCACTGGCATCGGGATTTTCTCTCCTCGTCCCTCAATTCCCTCGGTGATCTCTTCCTGCTCGAATGGTCATCACCTTACGTCCGCTGCCGTTTATCACGACAAGTCAGTTCCTGACTTGCTCAACAGAGCCTCGGTCTCTCATCGGCGACGCGATTGTTCTTCACATCGCTCTCCTCATCTGATGGTTCCTTCCCACGAACAATCAGCATCTCAACGGCGCCCCAACACTCTCCTTTCACTGGCTATGACTCCCACAGAACGCTCTTGGAAACAGTCACCAGACGGAGTACGTTGCTCTTCGAAAGCCTACCCTCACAGTTCCCCCAAACTCCAACTCACAATTGCATTTCAACCGGCAAGCCAAGACCAATCGTCAGGCAAGCACACGCCGGAAGATTTCGACCATGGATTGTCGCAACCAAACATCCGTTCAACAAGAACGTTGAACACCGATCATTGCATATGGAGGTACATCCAACAGGACACTCGTCAGTGGACCAAATACTGTCTCACTCGCTCAGCCGGCAAGGGCCACAACCATGCACTATGTCTGCAATCCTACTGCCTCCAACTCCAACAATCCTGTCTCAGCAGTTCCAACACCTCTACCCAAAACCCTATTACATTCGCTACGACCGAGAGGGGAAGTATTGTGGGACACTTCATCAATGACCAAATAGAAATCCTGC